TTAAAGAGAATGACAAAAAGGAGACAACATATCAAAATTTACGGGATGCCACCAAAGCAGTACTTAGGGAAAAATTTAAAACTCTAACCATCTAAATCAATAAAATAGATAAAGAGCAGATCAATGAACTGGGCATGCAACTAGAAAAACAATAAAATTTTAAAATCCCCAATTAAACACCAAATTGGAAATCTTGAAAATCAAAGAAGAAATTAAGAAAACTGAAAGAAAACCAATGAACTAATAAAACTAGAAGCTGGTTTTATGGGGGGAAAAAAGAACAAAAAAATGGATGAACCATTGGTTAATTTGATTTAAAAAAGAAGGAAACCAAATTACCAATATCAAAAATGAAAGGAGTGAATTCACTACCAATAAAAAGGAATTTTTTAAAGATTGTTAGTAGCTATTTTGCCCAATTATGTTCCAATAAACTTAGCAATCTAAACAAAATGCATATTTACAAAAACATAAATTGCCCAGATTAACAGAAGAGGAAATAGAATACTTAAATGACTCCATCTTAGAAAAAGAAACTGAACAAGCCATCAATGAACTTCCTAAGAAAAAGCATCATGGACAGATGGATTCACAAAGTGAATTCTACTAAACATTTAAATAACAATTAATCCCAGTACTATACAAACTATTTGGAAAAATAGACAAAGGATAAGAGAAGGATTGTTCCTTCCTTCTACGACACAAATATGGTGCTGACACCTAAACCACAAAGAGATAAAACAGAAAAAGAAAACTACAGACCAATTTCCCTAATCAATATTGATGCAACATTTCTAAATAAAATACCAGCAAGGAGATTACAGCAATATATTACAAGGATCATATACTATGATAATGTGGGATTTATACAAGGAATGCTGGGCTGCTTCAATATTAAGAAAACTATCAACAAAATTGACCATATCAATAACAAAACCAACAGAAATAATAGGATTATCTCAATAGATGCAGAAAAAGCCTCTGACAAAATACAACACCCATTCCTATTAAAAACACTAGAGAGCACAGGAATAGAGTTTTCCTTAAATTGATTAGTAGCATCTAAAACCATCAGCAAGCATTATCTAAGCCCTTCCAATAAAATCAGAGGTGAAGCAAGGATGTCCATTATACCACTGTTATTCAATATTGTACTGGAAATGCTAGTTTTAGCAGTGAGAGAAGAAAAAGAAAATGAAGGAATTAGAATAGGCAATAGGTAAACAAAACTATCACTCTTTACAGATGACGTGGTATACTTAGAGAATCCTAGAGAATCAACTAAAAAGTAAAAAATTGCATCCTATTATCTATATTCTTTGCCTTAAGGATTAAAAAAAAAAGCACTGTATCAGTTGACAAAGTTTGGTCCTGTAAGATTTTTTTAAAATTCAGCCTTTCTCGTGTTAAAATTATGACAAAGGCTTGCCAGCCAAGTTTTATAGAAAACTGATAGATAATAATGGCTAGCATTTATATTGTGTTTTATGGTCTACAAAGCATTATCATATATTATTTCACTTGATCCTCAAAATAACCAAAGAGATACTATTATTATCCTCATTTTACAGATGAGGGAACTGAGGCTGGGCAAATAAGTAACTATTACATAAAGTCCCACATCAAGGAAGTTTCTGAGGAAGGATTCAAATTCAGGTCTTCTTGACTCCACGTCTATCATTCTATCCAATAAAAGCCATCTGGCTGCTACATAAGACCAAGAACAATTCCCCAACAGATAAGCAGACAGAAGAGAAACTTTCAAAAGAATAAATACAATTGAACAATCCTGTGAATTCACTAATCATAAGAGAAACACAAATTAAAACAATACTGAGATTTCATACTCACCAATTTAGCCAAAGTCATAAAAGGCAGAAAAAGTCAAGGATGGAGGGGATACGCTAAGATAAAAACACTGATACACTGAGATTGGAACTGTAAAATTGCCCAATTCTTCTGGAAAACAATTATAGGAACAATTCTAGAAAAGTGAATAAATTATTCATACTCCCTGATTCAATAATCTGACTACTGGCACTGACTCAGGAAGGTGTTTGCTTTCAAAAACTATCTATCTCATTCATTCTGTAGACTTTGTGGTACAATGGGAAAAACAACCAGCTCCTCAGTGAGACCTAAGTTCTAGTTCCTTAGCTGTGTTAGGAAAACTTTGTTTGCTTATCTAAAGTGAGGATAATAATGTCATCCTTACTTACTTCATAAGAATGTGACAAAAATTTAACAAAATCAAGCTCTTTGAAAAGTCAACATGTCATACAACATGTCCTCCAATAATGTAATGAGTAGGTAAAATTACAGGCTTGCAATATATTCATTGCTATAAAGCTTGAAACATTCAACTATTCTGTCTGGCCAGTGCAGAAATTCAATCCAGATATTTCCTGTTACTGAATCCCCTCCATCCCACACCATCATATATAACCAGATTAACTGGTCAGGGTTTCCCCATAAGACCAGGCTTTTTCTCAGTTAAATGACAGGCATGGCCTTGTAGAAAAAAAAAAATCTACAAGTGAGGTACGATGGAAACAGAGTCAGCAAAGTGGGTAGAGCAATAGACTTGGAATCAGAAAGATCTTAGTCCAAGCCCTGTCTCAGATACTTACCATGCAAAACTGAGCAAATCACTGAACCTCTTTATGCATCATTTTCCTCAAATGTACAATTAGGGGGTTGGATTCTAAGGGCTCTTCCAGCTCTAAATCTACAAGCATATGCATGGAAGAGCCAAATGGGTATTGCCATGACCTCCAAAATAATTGAAAAAATTTCAGTTCTATAATGGTCTAATAAAACTATTCAGTTTACTCAACAATCACCATCCTATGAAATACCTCGCCTTGAATCCTAACCAATCCAAAGCTGACTGCAATCCCAGGAAAGAAGTAAACTAGAACCCAAGATAATTATGCCAGAATTTTTCATCCAAAGATACCCTTGAGAGAGTGATCACCACCTCAGATGCTGGCAACTAGGATTTGAATCCAGATCCTCAGATGCTGTAAGTCTGGGCTTCTTTCTAATGAACTACTATCTCTATTAAATTTATCTCTATTTATCTACTACCTCTATTATATTTAATTCTTAGCTAGACATAAAATAAATTAGAAAATAAAACTGCTCTTCTCATTATCCTCTTAGATTTCCTCCTCATAATTCATCCTCTCATTCACCTTACCAAATTCTTATTCTGATAAAAAAGGAGGAAGTAAGTAGAGGCACATTAAAAGTAAAGAGGAAGGCAAATATGTGCAAATATACCAACCTGGGAAGACTGACAACAATGCCCTTTTCATTCTGGGTGAAGAGTCAAAAACATGTTAGTTTGTTTGTATCGGACTCAAGCGTAGAAGATCGAATGAAATTTAAGCAACTGTAACTGTTTTCGGAAGATGGTACTTCTTCCCATACATATAAAGACACCAAAATCATGCAGTTATATGCTTAACAAAAAGGGTATCTTCTTAGTAAAGGTATGTATAACCTACAGAGCAATCTTGGCAAATTGTTAATAAGATTAACAAGGACTGGGACAAAATTCTTACAATTTAAATATTTTATTTTTAAGAAATTTATTATTCATCGAAGACAGAACAAATGTGACAGAAAAAGAATTAGAAAAATAGCAAACTGCCAGGGTAAATTAAATTTAATGTATCTATTTCTTAACTCTGACAAAGTATGCTGTTAACAAAAACTGTTCCTTTACAAAATCTGAAGTTCTTTAGAAAGTTAATTTGATGCAACTTTTGAATTGAATTGATAGGCTACGGTACTATGCAAAACCAATCTATTTTCACAAGTACACTGCTGGGTAACAGTGCAACTAAAGTTTTTACTTTATCTCTAATCAAAGCACTACCCAGAATCTAGACGATATTTTAGGGCCTTACAAAAAATACACCTCTAGATGAAGTTATGCAACCTCGGAAAGTTAAAAGTCACGATCAGTAACTATTTCTCAGATATACACATCAAGATGGACAACGGAATTTAATTCTAGAATGGGCCCTGAATTTAATGGAAGAAAAGAGTAGGCTAGATTGATTAGTCAACAAGCATTGATTAGGAAAATTGTACAGTGCTTTCAGTGACTCTAAGTTTCTCCCTGAAACAAATGTCCTTTTTTCAACATAACATTCTTCCAGTTAAATGGCTGAAAATCATGGAGTAACACATTAAAATTCACACAGGTCACCCACAGGGCAATACCAAAAGGTATAATGGGCCTAAATATGCATGTTACAAAACAATGAATCAACATGTATTTCTTAAGTACCTACATGCCACACATTGTGCTAGGTGCTGAGGATACAAATTCAAGGAATGAAACAATCCATACCCAAACAAAGAACTGCAGTCAGAAGCAACATAACAAACATTATCAAACATATACATGAATGGAAAAGAAGGTAAGCTGGGTGAAGGTTGAAAGTTAAAGACGCTCAGCCATGTTCACTGGTACTCAAAAAATGTTAAAAGAATTAGAGGAAAAGCTCCAACAAAAAATCCAGAGGGTAGACGCTTCTGCTTTGGAGATGTACAGAAGGACATGCACAAGAGAGGCACCAGGTAATAAGGCATGCACAGATGGTGCTGGTAACTGACATCAATAAGATCACAGACCAAAGAATTGAAATAACTTCTTGTTTAAACTGAGTAAGGGGCAAAAAATAAATGCTGCAGTCAATGGTCATCTAATATTTGATCAGCTAAGGAGGAAATGTATATAAATACAAATATACTCTTTTTTTTTCCTCCCCAGAGGAATAATAATCACTTTTTGAGAAACTGTTCTTGTAGAATTTATTTTCTGCGCTATCAAAATTTTTATACAGACTAGGAAGCAAAGAAACATTTTTACAAATTTAAAATAACTATACTGAACTTCTTTCTCCAAGATCACTCAACTGTTACGATGAAGGAATCTGAAAGCATTGGATAAGTAAATTTGTACTACAAGAATGGAATGTTACCTGGCAAAGTTGTCTTCATGATATCAATTCCAACCTGTAGTTTAGGCTCAGCAGCAAGAACTGCATAGTCTCCTTGATGTGAGATATTAAAGTTGAAATTTGGATGTGTACTGAATGAGTCATTCACAAGGACTGGTTTCCCTTTCGAAGTTCTCTGCAAGAGTATATTATTCCAAGGGATGTTCAATTTTTCTGCAATTAATTTCCTCATCATAAGTCGACCTACCTGTGAATTTAATGATATTGTAAAAAAAGTACATAATAATGTCTACTGAACAATTATATCAAATGCCTCCCTGTTGTGGTATATGATCATGATGGAATGCTATTGTGTTATAAGAAATGACAAGGGGGGCAGCTAAGTGGCGCAGTGGATACAGCACCGGCTCTTAAGTCAGGAGGACCTGAGTTCAAATCAGGCCTCAGACCAAACATTTGACATTTAGTTGTGTGACCCTGGGCAAATCACTTAATTCCAATTGCCTAAAAAAAAAAATAAAATAAATAAAATGCTATCTGCTAGCATAGGTGGCACAGTAGACAGAGCACTGGGCCTGGAATCAGGAAGATCTGAGTTCAAATTCATCTTCAGACACTTATTGTGATCCTGGGCAAATCACTTAACCTCTGCCTGCCTCAGTTTCCTTATATGTAAAATAAGGTTAATAACAGCACCTGTTTCGCAAGTTTGTTATGAGGATAAAATGAGATAATATTTGTATAGCATGTTGCTAACTTTAACACTCCAAACAAATGCTATTATTATCATTAATAAACATTTCACATTACTGACAAAGCTTAAAGACTTAAAGCTAGAATAAATTTAAAGCTAAGCATAATAATGAATTTTGTGAGATAACTTCCATAATATTCTTCCTACTTGCTATCACTTAACTGTTCTGAATAAGTAACATGCTCTTAGTATCCTTTGTTTTCATTTTACTTGTTTTTAAATGACTAAAAATATTTATTCATATATCTGAAACATAAGTAACCAGGTAATTAAAAGTAACAAAGAATTATTTTGAAGACACATTATTGTATTAAGATACCTTATTTTTTACTTTGTATTAAAATGTTCTATTTATGATTTTAAAATATTCAATTTAAAAATAAATGATGCCACTAGAAATGTCATCTCCCTTCAATATCATTATGCAAAATGATATTATAATTACACTTTAGATTATCAAAGCTAAAGAGAGAAAAATATTTAAAGAACTGAAATATGCCAGTCAGGAAAATATAACAATTACCGTATCAGTATTAACTTGGTTAGACTGCATCAACAGAACAGGCTGATTTTTTCTTTATGATAAACTGCACTGCTCAATAACAATTTTCATTGATCATTTTCAATACTAAATCAAGTTTTCTGGATAGATCTCTTTCTAAATTGAAAAATTTCTGTGGCTTTTACACATTAATTTTATTACAACATACTTCCTGCCAAGAGCTAGGACAAAAAAGTCATTAAACAATGGAAAATTATTCATCTATGAAAGCAGAATGTGGTAACCATATTATAGGTGCCATAAAACCAGTTAGAATCTTTTTAATGCAATGAATATTTTTAAAATGACACACAAACGGCAAAATAAATTTTACAGATTTTAAATCAAAGGGTTTCAATCATTCAACCAGGGCTAATACTTCAAGGGTTAGCTATACAAGGAAGAAAAAAGTCCTGAAACAACATTTGACTAGCAATAAGTGTTAACCACATAATGATTCAATACAATGAAAGAACACTGAGTTTCTTATGAAAATTAATAGAAATAGTAACAGGACAGGATAAAAAAATGTATCCAATGTTTACACATGATTAGGGATTTAGAAAATGAAAGTGAGGTTTTTTGGTTCAAATGTTCATTTTACAGACAGAGGAACTGAGTCCCAGAGAGTTTAAGTGATTTGTTCAAGGTCACACAGGTATTAAGGGAAAGAGCCAAGATTCAAACCAAAGTCCTCTGAGTCCAAATACAGCACACTTAGGACAGCACCATGTACAGTGTGAAAAGTACTATCTTTCAAAAGTTCATTATTACTTTTACTTGACTAAAATGCACCGCCTAAAATTCCTCATTCTCACACATATCCAATCACTTGCCAAATTTGGTATTTTTTTTTTTTTAAACTTCTACATCTCTTCCCCATGTTCTCTTCTTTTATCTCAGTCAACATCCTACTTCACTACCCCATCACTTCTCACTGGGACTATTTCAATAGCCTCCAAATTGATCTCACTCCTTGGAATCTCCCCCATTTGATAATAAACCCCTGGAGGACTGGGACTGTCTTTTGCCTCTTACTATAGGTCCAGTACTTAGCTCAGTGCCAGGAGCACAATAGGCACTTAATAAATGTTTATTGATTGTTTCCATGCAATCCTCCACAAAGCCACCAAACTAATTTCCTAAAATGCAGATGTGACCACAACATTCCCTCTACTCAATAAACCCCAGTAGCTCCCTATATCCTCCAGGATCAAAAATAAACTCCTGTTTGGCGGTTAATGCTCTTTACAACCTGGCCCCATCCTAACCTTTCCAGCCTTAACAGACATTCCTTCCCTCCACAACTTCCACACTCTATAGTCCAATCTAACTGGCCTCCCTGCTGTTCTTTGCACAGGATACTTACTCCATATAGGAAAGGAATAGTTTCATCCACATTTTTGCTAGGTCTCTATTTTAATTTGAAAAACTAAAAGAAAAATAACCTCAACTTTTACCCCTAAGTTCCTAAATCATTCCCTCCTCCTCTTTGGACTCTGCAAACAGCGCCAGCAGCATGTGCTGGGCAGGTCTTTTAAGCACACAAGGGGGGTGTTTAGCAACCTCGCTGCCAAAGACACAAAAAGACACAACCATGTGAGAATTAGTGCTAGCGGTTATAACTAAGCTCCTACTACCTGTAGGGAAAGTCTTCCAGAGTTCTAGACTTAGTATGACTAGTTGCTATGCAAGGCAGAGAAGATACCATTTTTAAATATTCTTATAAGTTGTATTCTTTTAATTTCTTGAGTAACCTTTCTTCTTAAATTATCTTGCATTTACTTTTCTACCTTATATGTATCCTCCTCCCTCCTCCCCCATAATGTAAGTTTCAGGAGGACAATTTCCTTTCGGTTTAGGTAGCAACAATGGTTAATGAACATGTGTCTAATTGAACTGAAGTTCTGTCAGTTCCACCAGGGTAGAAAGGCTTCAATTACAGCCCTCGACAGAATGAGTTTTCTCCAATGACCTGCTTAGCTAAGTTTCAGAGGCTTATCCCTGAAGACCTGGCCACCGGGTGACGATTTTTTTTCTTTTGACAACATTAGCCAACGAGGGCTAAAAGCTTAAGAACTGAGCGGCAGCGATAACAGGATGTATGCTGCCTTCAGGGGGCGCAGGGAGGAGGAACTGTCCGAGCCAATGGACTCTGAAACAACCTGGGGCGAACTGGAATCAAGTCAGAGGCAACAGCAAAAAGACGTCAGGAAAAGCATTGGGCATAAGGGAAAGAGCTCTGGATATAATGCTACCCTAGGCAAGTGTCCTGGCCTCAGTTTCCTCATCTGTGAAATGGGGTTGCATTAGGTGCTCTTTAAGTTCTCTTCCAGCATTAAATCCGAGGGCTGTAGGTGCTGAACCAATGGCTTTTGGGTGATGCCAGGTGGCCTCTTGAGCCAGCTGCTCCAGTAACTGGATGGACAGCCTGCGGTTTGGCGTCCTCCGGCTGGTCCCTACGCTTTGGATAATGGGGAGGTGGGGAGGGGCGGGGGATACCCTCTAGTTTGGGGGCCCACCGCGCCCGACACCGTCTCCGTGTCTAAAGAACAAAGATTCGTCGGTACCATGGCTGCCTTGGCGTCCCGGGCAAAAACGAACTGGCCAATGCGATCCTTCTCCTCGGGCTGCACGGCACGCGCCGCCAGGAGCCACTCGGCCCGGCTGGGGCGCCAGGCGGCGCACGGAAAAGCCCAGCGCACGCCCTCCATGGTGGGAAGCAACCACGAAGTCTGAGCGCAGAAACCATTCACGGGACACGCATGCTCACGCCATCACGCACGCACAGCGACTCCAAGCCTCCGCTCCGAATGTTAGCGTAAAGACTGTTTATTATGCCCGGCCTGAGCCCCTCCGCGGAGGAGCGTGGCCTGCGGGGGCGTGACGTCAACTCATTCGCCTATGCTTGCCCTCCTCTAGAGGAAACAGCTGGGAGCAGGGGGCGGAGCCAGGAGGAAACAGTTGCTGCTCTGCAGTAACTTCCTAGGGTCCGGAGAAGGGTGGTACTTCAGGGACCGCTATTAAGCTATGGAGGAGGGACGAAGCCGAGTCACAGGTAAATCGCACCACTCCTCAGCTAGGACAGGCAAGCTTGACAGCCGGCCACGCCAATAGCAGTGGAGCCGCTGGGAGTTAGGGCGGGCCGAGTTGGAGATCGGAGACTGCAGATGCAGGTGGGTGATGCTCGGTGGTGCCTGAGAGGGGGCTGGAGGGTCCCCTGTGGTCCCCGGTGCCCCCAGGGGAAGGGGAGGCGGACCTTGACCCGGGGCTTCCTTGGGAAGGGGAGCTTTTCAGCCTCTGCCGAAGGGCCTCGCCACTGCCTCGGGCTACGCCTCCATTCTGCGGGGGCTGTGTACGCCTCCACCCACTCGGGGCCCCTTAGGCTCCCCTGCAACTCCTGGGCTGCAAGAGAACTCTGGAAAGATGCTGGGGTGGGGGTGGTCTTGGTCCCTCCCTGTGAGCTGCTGATAGTCCTCTCCAAGGCTCCCTTTTCCTCGAGAGAAGGAACTGTTTCCCCGTGAGCATCCCCTGCCTGGCTGGGCAAATCCGTCTCTAAGGGCAACGTGAATTTCACGGAGGTTTCCGGCCTGACCTAGGAGCTGTCAAAGGGAACTTGAGGGGGCCTTGCTTGCAACAGAGGCAGCAGTTTCGAATTACATTATGCCTGCGACCTTTTTATAAGGGGCCATGCAAGAATCGTCCCTTTGAACATTGTAACGGTGTCTCCCAGAATGAGTCCTTTTCCAGTATTCTTTATAGAATCCCTTTGCGTGAGATAAATTCCTCCTTGAGTTCATAAACTTCCAGGAAAAACTCTCTCTTCTAGGAATTATGTGTAATTTCTTTTGTCAGGCAATGATTGCTATGTGTCATTTTCCTTTTTTTTCTTTTTGTCTCTATAGTTCAGTGTTCATCTCAAGTTCATCCATTTCCTTACAAGTGTTCTTTATTTTGTTTTTCTACTTAATTTTTGTTTTCCTATTTAATTGTACATAATTTACATAATTGATCTAAACTTCCTAAAATTCTTTTGAAAGCAGATGGGTTTTTTTGTTTTGTTTTGTCTTTTGTAAATTAAAAGGCTCTGAAATGGATTGCTCAAATGATGTAGACACATATATATTTTTGTCATATATATATGCAGATTTTTTTATGTAAAGAACTCTGAAGCTTGTCTCTTACTCCTGCCTCTCCTTTCAATCACTCTGGTAGTTAATGGCAGATTAGAGCTAAAACTCAGGTCTTTTGACCTCATTACATCACCACTGATTCATTACTTATATGTGTATATGCACATATATATATATATACATATACACATATATCAGATAAAACCTTTGTTATGTACAAAGCACTTTTATAGGCACAAAGAGGGCTATAGAGATATATGATATAATCCTCAAGTAAAAAGAGAGGATTTCCTGTAATCACAGTAAGTAACAGAGCTAAGAATATGTTAAAAAATTTAATGTGTTAATATCAACTTATATTAAGTTAATTTGATAATATGCTAATGTGCAAAGACAGTCCATATCCTGTTTTTCCCTTAAGAAATAAGAAGGGGCAGCCAGGTGGCGGTGGGTAAAGCACAGGCTCTGGATTCAGGAGGACCTGAATTCAAATCCAGCCTCAAACACAAGCCGTGTGACCCTGGGCAAGTCACTTAAACCCCACCCCCCCCAAAAAAGCAGAAAAAAATGGTTCTCTAAATGAGAAGAGGAGCTTAGCACTGGCTAAGCCTGGGACCGGAACCTTAGGCCTCCAGGCCACTTGTGACCCTCTAGGTCCTCAAGTGCTGCCCTTTGACTGAATTCAAACTTCACAGAACAAATCCTCTTAATAAAAGGATTTGTTTGGTGAAAATTTAACTCCAGTCAAAAGGCCACACCCAAGGACCTAGAAGGTCACAGGTTCCCTATTGATAAGCTAAACTAACCTGAAAGAAAGGTCTAATAATGAAAAAGGATTCTAGTCGGAGAGTTTCTTTGTGGATTATGCCCCCCTAGGCCTCTACCAAAAGGTATTAGGTTGAGAAGGGAATTTTTACTACTTTCCCCTAACCTCACCCCTCAGTGGCATAGTTCAGTAGAGAAGTTACTCTTCAAGTAGAAGATACCACATCCAGTAGAGAAAGTCAATGGAGGAGCATACAAAGAGTTTGCCCTGGGCCAGCCGAGAAGTGAGCCAGTCAAGGATTCAAGAATACAGTTAATGCTGGCATTTAATATTTGAGCTTCCAAGAAGTGCAGGACCAGGGAGCCCAGTTGGGTGACTGACCCAACCAAGTCACTACACCTTTGGAGGAGCATCATGAGAGCACCTTAAGAAGGAAAGTACATTAGGACCCTACAGTGCCAAAGGTGCTAGTTGCCTTGATCACATGTGTGCCTCAACACTGGTATACTTGAGTTCCTTGTACCCTTATACTTATCACTTTCTATACCTTAACTCGGATTTACTCCTAAGACCACCTTCTCTCTTCGTGTTCATATGCTGATGAACACCACTGGAGAAAGTCATATGCTGCTGACTAGATCCACTATATATTTATGTTATGTAATCTCAACTGGCCCTCACAGCCACATAGCATTTCTTTAATGCTTCTCTAATCAGCTCTTTATCATACTCTTCACAGTAGCTGTTGCAAACATTTTTTTTCCCCTTAAGCTGCCCACAGCACCAATTCTGCCGTTCTTCTCAGCAGAGAGCCTTGCCTTCTACTTCATTGAAAATATCAGGTCATCATTTGGAGAGGCTTTCCTTCCCAATTTTATACTTTGAATCACTTCAGCATCATCCCCATTCTCTTCTTTATTCTGAGAGGATGAATTTGCCCTTCTTCTTGACAGTTCAAACCCCTCTCCTGGGATCCTGGTTCCCATCTCCTCCAAGGACTTGCCTCTTTCATTCTCTTTCTCCCCAATTTTCAGCTTCTCCTTACATATTGGCTCTTTCCCCCTTGCTTACAAACAAATCCAATTTTCCCTATCCTTAAGAAACCTTTAGCTTTATTCTGCCTTCCCCTCAAGCTATTGTCCTATCTCCTTCCTTTCACAAATAAATTCCTAGGGTGGGGGGAAAGCTGTTTGCCTACACTTTCTCCCTTCCCACTCATTTATCAACCTTTTGCAATCTGGCTTGCCTATTTCCCCACTCCCTGACTAAAATTACTTTCTTAAAGGTCACCAGTGTTCTCTTCATTGCTAAATTCAATTGCTTTTTATCAGTCCTCTCCTTTTTAAAAATTTGTCTTCTAGACCTCTACAGAGTTCAACACTGAATACTTCTTTCTAGACACTTTCCTCCGTGGGTTTTCATGACACTCCTCTATCATAGCTCTCTTCTTATCTGTGGGACAATTTCTTCTTTGTCATCTTTTCAGATACATTATCCATATCACACTATAGCAAACCCCAGGGATTTGTCCTGTACCTTCTTGTCTTCTCATTCTATATGTTCTTTCAGCAATCTCATCAGCTTCCACAAATCTTTATCATCTCTATAATTTTCTGTCATCTCTATTATCATCTCTAGCATATCAAGACCCCATTTTTCTTCTGAGCTCAAATCATGTCTCCAGCTGCCTGCACTAATGATTTCCAAAAGAGAGCTTATCTTTACCCAAAACCTATCCTCCCTCATACTTCTCTGTTTCTATTAATGGCATTCTTCCAGTCACCCAAGTTTGAGTCAGTTTGACTAGAAGTCATCTTTGAGTCTTCACTCTCTCATACCACTCTTATCCTATCAGTGGCCAAATTTTTATAGATTCCACCTCCTTAGCACCTTTCACATCCATCCCCTTTTCTATATCTATACAATCACCCCAATCCAGATCCCCATCACTTTTCCCCTACATTCCCCTAAATTTTTCATCTCTAATCTACCACCAATCTTTCTTCCTTTCTCCACGCAGCTGCCAAAGTGATATTCCTATAATACAGGTCTGACCATGTCATTTCCCTGCTCAGGAAACTTCAGTGGCTCTCCATTGCCTTTAGGATAAAATAAAAACTACTGTGTTTGGCATTTTAAAAACCCTTTTCCATATGTCCCCAGACTGTCTGTTTTGGCTGATCATACGTTATTTCAGTTCACAAACTCTAGGCTCTAGAAAAGCTGACCTACTTGTTATTCCATCTCTAACCTCCATGGCTGAAATGCTCTCCAAGCTCCTCACATTGGTTTGTAATTCCTAGCTCTTTTGAAGGCCTAACTCACATGCCACCTTCTTTTAGATGTCTTTCCTGATTCCTTTAGTTGTTAGAATATTTACTAACTCTGTATATTTATTTATATATATCCTGTATTTAGCTATCTATGAAAATGTTGCTTCTTCTCTTCTAATATAATAAATCATACATTTGGAGCTGGAAGGATATCTGAAAGCTCTTAAGTCCAACCCCCTGATTTTACAGATAAGGAAACCAAGGTTCAGAATGCTCCTTGTTCCTTGATGGCAGGGACGGATCCACTTTTAGATTTGTATCTCCAGAACTTAACAAACAATTCATTGGTGATTGGTGGTTAAAAGGCATCACAGTGACCATCTAATTCAACCTTCTTATTTTACAAATTAAATTAAGGCCCCAAAAGGTTATTACTTGCCCTAGATCATAACCTTATTGGTGAAAGACACTGGTATATAGTGGAAAGAGTGCTTGATTGGAAGTTCAGACCTAGATTGAAGCCCAACTATGATAACTGCAGAATCATAGGATTTAGATCAGTAATT